TTTCTACTATAATAGAATTTTAAATTCTACTAAAAAGTTATACTATAGAAGTATGTGATTTCTTCTGTCATAAAAAATAAAGCCTTATATGGATGATGCAATACATAGAACGAAAAGAAATAAAAAGATTTTGAATATTTAATTTCAACTTCTCGTCACAGTATCAAAAGAAAAAATATTTGAATATTATATAAAAAGGAGCTATTTTATTCGAAATTGGATCAACATATACTATCCTTAGGTGAGAAACTTCGTTCAAAGTTTGTTATCACACAAGCTATTTATAATGGCACCATGTTGGTATTAAAAGATGATCGTGGTGAAGCTCAATTTAAGTTCTGGGTTCATAAATACTTTAAATTAGTTATTATTGGTGAATTACAAGTTGTTTATGGCATTAAATCAAATAATCCGGTGGTCACATATGAACAATTCTACACAACCATTAAAGAATGCCATGAAAGAGTAGGACATCATGGTCATGATAAAACGTGGAGAGAAGTAGTATTTTGTACTAAAATTCAAAATGAAAATCATAATTTTATTTTAAATTAATGTGAAACAACAGTATTGTTGAATTCCATTTGATGTAGTAGTCATTTTCCTTTCACAATGTGATGTGTGTTGGAATCGCAAATGATTTCCAAAACTAATGATTTAAGAAAATGTAATTTTTCAGAATTGCGTGCTATTGATTCTCAAACATTACCAACACAAACATTTATTCAAGCTTGTAAAGATTATGTTAACAGTGGACTTAATCCAGTGGTGGAAGCTTGTGTTTGTAATGGTGGTTGTGCTACAAAAGATGTCCATGCAAAGCAGCTAAAGTGTCATCCTGCTAAAAAGAAATCTTGTACAAATATATAGATGTAAACTCGTTGATGAACTGAACAATCTCCAATGTTGCTCTCTACTTTATAAATAAGTAAGTCATATTCTTTCGTAGATCATCATCGTATAAGGGCTAATTTTATTTTTTATTATAATAGAAATTCACATATTTCCATAGTATAACTTTTTAGTAGAATTTAAAATTCTATTATAGTAGAAATTAAAATTTTAATTTCTGCTAATATAACGAAAAATCGCCTGTTATTTCAATTTCTCCTAGTAGAAATTGAAATTTTAATTTCTACTAGTAGAATTTTAATTCCTACTCCAACATATATATGAAAATAATTGAAGAAAAATGATATTTTTTTGTATTATCCGATGAGATTAGACGTCAAGATATTGATGATACATTTGTTAGATACGTGATAGATTTTTTTCAATAACTATTGAATCAATATAAAATAGACAAGCGAAATCTTATGGATTTTAATAAGCGTAAATGATATTGTTGCATGCGTCGATGTTGGTCAGCTTTCTTTGAAATAATACCTCATAAGCAATATTAATGAATTCAAATAGTGCAGAAAATGCAATATATTTTCTTAAATTATATACTGATGTTCAAAATTGAATAAACAATCAATACATATAACAGTTTCTCAAGACATCAAAGTATATATTTTTAAATGTACAATTATCTCGTCAAAAACAAAATTTAAGAGTATCAATGATAATTCAAAGAATGATAATGAGCTATAGAATTACAAAAATTCAGCGAATTTGAACAACATACAACCGACAAAATACTTTTCTACGATATAGAACTCATAATACAAACGTCTAAAGAATGATAAATTCGTCAAATTAATGTTGACTTTTTTACGGACTTTATATAAATATAATCAATAATTTATTCATTTCCTTTCGGAAATAAGTTATTAACTAGAAGAACGGCTAATCAAGCGTAATTAGCATTTTCTAGTGCGAGAAAATGAAGCCATAGACTAAACTAGAAAATTCAATATTTTAACTTTCATCTATCAATTCTCTCTAAAAAAATTGGTGTCATAGGAAACTATTAAAGGTTTTAGCGAAGGTTCAGAACCTTTTAAGGTTTCATTCGTTTATTAGTAAACCATCAAAAGGTTCTAGACGATTTTAAGAACCATGCCAAATATAAAAATGGTTCCAGAGGTTGAGAAGAGTTCTATCTTCCACCATTTTTCTACATGAAGAACTATGATAGATGAAAAATAGTTCCAGATATTTAGAAAAGTTCTATCTCGCACCAATTTTGTTCATAAGGAATCATGATTGATGAAAAATGGTTCAAAAGATTTAAAATGGTTCTGTCTCACACCTTTTGTCTTTATAAAGTACCGTGACTGCTAAAAAATGGTTCCAGAGATTTAAAAAAAGTTCTATGCTGAACCACTTTTTTTCTGTGAGGTATCACGACTAAAATAAAATGGTTCCAGCGAATCAGAAGAGTTCTACATCGCATCATTTTTCTTATTAAAGAATCATGACTGACTTTAAATGGTTCAAGGGATTTATAAGAGTTCTATCTCGTACCGTTTCTTTCCCATAAAGAACCGTGTTTGATAGAAAATGGTTTTAGCAATTTAAAATGGTTCTATACTGCACCATTTTCTTTATGCTCTCCTTCTTTTAGAAACGTAGTTCTAGCATAAGTCGCCTGTATTGGATTGGAAATAAAAGAGGCCAAACAGATTCTTTGAACTTTGTCAAGCGTAACTATACGTTTGCAATAGTGTTCGAATCCACGATACCTCATTAAATGTCACATAATCTTATATGTCTCATCTGAAAGCTCTTCCAAATTTCACAATAGAAAAAGCTTCGTAGTGAATGTCTCTGAAGTATTATAGACAGAAAGTTTCCTATTAAATTATTTTCTTTCAGGCTTTCTATAATAGAGATCGCTGTTCACTGATCAAAAACACGATTAATCTAAATCGTCCCTATTTTTATCGTTCTACCATTCATCTTGCTATTACGTTTGCATACTTCATTAGTGGATTTACATTTTATATTTTGCCAGACGCAGCAACATTTGAGAGCAATATGAAAAACATCGGTTATATTGCCAATAGAATTTGTTCACTAAAATTTTGAGATGCCTACATTATCACACCAGAAGCAGAGATTCTGACAACTGATAGCTATCTGTATTTGAATTTCATAAATCTCTACGATGATGTCTTCTCTACCGCTTTTAGGACGTTGATTGTTTGATCAAATTAAGCTAAAAGTTTCCTCACTCTTTTCGTTAGATAGAATGTTTCTTCAGTAGACAAATTGAAAGTATGAAAATACTTAGGGGTGTCCAAAAGTAGTGGCAACGACATTTTATTACCACATTTTAGTGTTGATAAAAAATTCTTTTTACATAGGATGATAGAGCGGAAAATGCTCTTTCTTTCTAGGCTATTTGATCGTACTTCGCTTGACATCATAATAACAAAATTCTAATAAAACTAGTTTGCCTAACATGTGTATCGGTTACAGAAGTTCAGTGTCTCCAATATGCATTCTTTTCGTGATCTTTTCTTTGTTTTTTTTCTTTTCTTTATTCTTTTCTCTCGTCTCTTCTGACACTTTATCGTTTATTCATATCGGCATACTCGAAAATTGAAAATACATGAGCAAGTTCAATAAGTTTTATTTGATTAAATGTTCAAAGTAATCGCCTTGATTATCTACACACAACTGCATTCTTTGAATCCATTTCTCAAACGTTTCTCTATACTCATCTTTATCCAAAGAATACATAAACTCGGTTATGGTGTGATGTAACGTTTCGGAATTAGGTTGATCAGTTAGATTTCGTTTGATAAGGTCGAATAACCAAAAATCACAGGGAGATAGATCTGGAGAATTGGGCGGATGTGGTACTGTGGTAATTACCTCTGAACGAAGATAATCGATGACATCTTGATGAACATGTGATCGTCCGTTATGATGATGAAGTTTGATAGCATGAGTACCTGAGAAAGGTCTTTGTTTCTTAATTTCTTCGATCACAGGTTGCAAACAATTTTCGGTGTAACAATGGCGATCGATAGTCTGTTCACGTTTGACACGATGGATTAGAAGAGGACCAGTTGATTTAAAGAAAATGCAAAATAAAAATTTAGAAGCAAACGTATTTTGTCGTTTTAATGTTGGTGGAGGATAATCTTTTGCCATCCAAGCAGCATTGGAAACTTTTCGACCAGTTTGCTGATGGAAAAACCACGATTCATCACCTGTTACCACGTCAGACAAACGCCATCCTCCTTCTGTAAAAATTGATAGATTTTCTTTGCATATTCGAACTCGTTCATTTCGTTGATAATGCGTTAGCTGTTTGGGTATGTAACGAGCAATAATTTTTCTAAGTTCCAGATGATCCGATTATGTTCGATGAACGGTGCCATAGCTTAGACGAGTATGCTCCTGTAATTCTGCTATTGTAACATGAGGATCATCGTTAACAATACTACGAATTTCTTCGATATTGTCAAGAGTAGTCTCAGTTACAGGTCTTCCAGATCGTTCTTCATCTTCAATTTCTTCTCGACCTTCACGAAACCATTGAGCTCATCTGGCAACTGTTCGATAGGAAGGTGCTTCATCACCAAAAACTGTATGCAGCTCGTCGTGAATAGTTCTTGCTTTAATATTTAGTGCAGTACGCACTTTAATGTAGAAACGAAAATTCTCTGTTCATTGAAAACAAAAATGAAAAGTGTTAAGAGCCGCTTTAACTCTACTTCTTTTATTTTCTATCAAAGAGAATAGTCCATGGCACGTGCACAAAAAGAGGCATGCATCTTTGTATTTATATGATAAACGATGAAGTGTCAGAAGAGACGAGAGAAAAGAATAAAGAAAAGCAAAAAAAAACAAAGAAAAGATCACGAAAAGAATGCATATTGGAGACACTGTGAACTTCTGTAACCGATACACATGTTAGGCAAACTAGTTTTATTAGAATTTTGTTATTATGATGTCAAGCGAAGTACGATCAAATAGCCTAGAAAGAAAGAGCATTTTCCGCTCTATCATCCTATGTAAAAAGAATTTTTTATCAACACTAAAATGTGGTAATAAAATGTCGTTGCCACTACTTTTGGATACCCCTAAGTATCTTCCTTTTCATCTCACGTGGTGTTCATCGCGCTCAAATTAGTTTAACATTGGAGTTCAGATATAGATATATGAGTTAAATATCGAAATATATATCAGAGAAAGAAAAAGAAATAAGATATATAACTAATGGGTAAGGATAGAAATAAAGAATTAAAAGTAGAATTAAGTGATTATAAATAGAATTCAGTGATTACAATTAGAATTAACGAATTAAGAATGAAATTATGCGGTTAAGGCCAGATATAAGAGTTAAGGGTAAAACTATCGAGTATCCCAAAAGTCCCTTTCGCTTAAATTTTTCGTATATATTTGTAATTTGATCTAACTTGATTAACTATGTTTTTTTCAAATGATACGTAAATACAATGAGGTTTTACCGATTTGAAAAAAACATCAGAATGACTGTTCAAAGATGTGAACCTTAACCGAAATGCAAAAATAAAATCTTTGTCGAAACTTCAAAAAAACATAATGTAATAGTTCTTTTTTAATTCCTACGAGTTATTGAGCAACAATGAGGATTTTTGAATAGTCTAATTGTTGAAAAGTCTTTTCACAGACTTTTATTTTGATATGTCTTCACAAAAACGAATTGAATGGTATCAAGTCGAAATTCAAGCAATTAAGAACAGATATCATCTATAAGTCTTTCTGGAAATACAGAAAAAAATTCAACTTTTTGTATTTGGGTTAAATTTCACATGTTTGAACAGTACTTTCGAAGTTTGTTTGTATCAATAAAATTTGGTACATTTACCTATCATTTAAAAAAAAATAGTTGATCAAGTTAGATAAAATTGCAAACATATGCAAAAAAATTAATTGAAAGAGTTTTTTGGAACACCCGATTAGGGTTACTTAGTGAAAAAATGTCA